GTGCATATGTCAGCATCTGGATGCTCTGTGACCACCTCAGCGTAACAAACTAGTTTTTACCCAAACCAGGATCTTCCCTGAACCGTAACCAAGTGGTTTCTGTGCCCGAGCCCATCCACACCGACTCCTGTGTGGTGGCAGAGCAAGAAAGAGGTCACGTGAAGAATATGTGTGACTGATTTGTAACACTTTCTGAAGGCACTGGTCAGAGACTAGCTGGTGGACACAGCGGAACCAGTCTCTGAGCTTATAGTTTGTGGTGGTGCACTGGACGGCATTATATTCACTATATATAAATACAGAGGACAAAATAAAAAATCAAACACCTCTCAGTGCAGCAACATCACCGTTAACTATGACTTAAAAAAGAATTGTAAAACTGATTTCCTCTAATGTCAACAACAAAACTGAACATGTAGATCATATGGCAGAGACTGTACAGGTGTACTGTGCCTAATAATGTGGTCACTGACTGTTCTAGTGTTCTAGTGTAAGGGAACAATGATCGCAGTGAATTTGAGAACTGTTTTTTTCCACATACCTACATTCAACAAAGAGCTTTTCTTCTGTTTGCGTCTCTGCTGCCCCAGACTTCAGTCAGAGGAAACACCGCTGAGTAAATAACGGCAAGTCTGTCGTTGATTTACCGTGCCGCCTTTCAGAAAGGTCTCCAGGCTGCAGCAGCTGGACAACCGTTTTCCCAGGAGGGCAAGAAATTGAATTTTAGGGTGGCAACATGGTTAAGGGTTAGGATGAGGTTAGCTTAAGGTTAGGGTCAGGGTTAGGGTTAGGGTTAGGCAAGTAGTGGTTCTGGTTAAGGTTAGGGTTAGTCTACAGGAAATGCATGTAAGTCAATGTAAAGTCCCCATTGACTACGAAACATAAACTGTGTGTGTGTGTGTGTTCAGTTGCTTGCGCACATTTCCAGATGGTCCCGTTCTTCTGTATGGTGCTGCTGAGCTGTGCACACACACAGGTGTGTACTGTGCACTTGTGACTCAATAACACACAGTGTCTGAAGAAGGAACTGAGATCCCTGTCATTTGATTGCACACTTTGTGATGTTGTAAACATGGTCTTAAATGGATCAAATCACCATTTTGCTGATCTGTCGACACAAAGTGAAGCCACACTGTGCGCTGTCAACACCCTCGGTGTTCACTGACATGTACACAGGTCAAGTCCAGGGAACAACTTTAAACAGTACAAAACTAAGCAGTATAAACCAGAACTTTCTCAGGGATCCAGTAACAGATTAGCTTCCATCTTTTCTGCAGCAGTGGAAGGAGATGAAGACTTGAAAAGTGGTACAAATGGTTCCTACAGGCAGGGAGTAGAGGTTCTACTGAAGAACTGACAACAGATCCCGTCTGTACAGAGGAAGTAAGACTACAACACGTCTGTGGGAACCTCTAAAACAGTCGCTGTGTTTAGTGGCACAGTACATCCAGATGTTGCTGTGCAGTGTCCTTCCAGATTAGTTATCAGAAAAGTACTTGAGTAATTATTACATTAATTGTTACTCAGCTGTCAGCTCTGCCCAGGTTGCTGTTAAACAGCGTCACATCGTCTGTAACCTGCGGTTTAACAAGCAGGCAGCCGAGCAGCGCGGGGGGCTTCACTGAGCACCCTGCAGCTGAGCTTGGCCTGGCAGACGGCACACAGCTCTCCAGACGTCCCAACCTCAGGAGTGTGGTTACACACTCTCGCAGAAGAGGTGAAAATGTGTGCATAGCTGTGGCTAACATCTGGCACAGCAGCCAGCAAAGCGCACACTTGGGAAATACCTGGAGTCGAATGTGTCCTCATCTGTTAGAGGCGGCCGGCCAGCCCACACCTCCAGTGACACTTAGTTCGCATTTGCCTCCTCTGGTTGCAGAAAAACACATTCTGCCTGTTGCAGCTGAAACTGTTACATCTATTTAGATTGTGATTGTGAAAAGTGAAATATTTTGGCGTTGTGGAGCTGTGAAAACACGCCAGGCTGTCGGCTCTGTGCAGCAGCAGCTCGTTTACAGAAGGCAGAAGAGGCTGCTGCTGCTGGAGACACAGGCAGTGGCGAATAAAAGTTGTTCTGGAGGGAGGTGTCAGACAAAAGGTCTTTGGTGTGTAACTGGTTTTGTTGTGTGAGGAATTGACAAGCAACAGGTGAAAATGTTAAATCATGTGAGAGTTTAAAGCTGCATTAACTCAGATTCCCCCACTGTCTGATGACCCCAGTGACAGAGGGACCTGGTGTCTCCCAGCTACACCCCCCCCCCCCCCG